AGCTTGGTTTTCACGGATCTGCCTCTCCCTGTGTTCAGTCAACCTTCGAAGGATAAGGCCAGAGAGCACCTTCGATGCCACAGCTAACAGGCTGATGCCACGGTGGTTTTCGCATAGCGTCCGTGTACCCTTTTTGAAGATAGGGATAACTGTCGACATGCCCCATTCTGCAGGCACTTGCTCTCCGTCCCACATAGTACCAATAAGCTTTGTCAAGTGGGTCAAACAATCGTCGTATCTTCAGACAGCAAAAAACGTGCAAAAAAAGCTCACCTGGAATATGGCAGCTTTGGTTTGTAGTGCATTTTGAATTGATTTAATCTGCGATGAGACCACAGACAAAACGGAGACCTCAATGCGATTGAATTCATCGAAACATCCCCATGCTCCAGATCGACACAGACCAGACAGTAACTTGGCGAAAGACTGGAAAAAACAGAGGTCGGTGTGGAGAATAATAGGTAGGGATGCGGCATGAAGACACTGCCTGAGATATGTGCAGTTCAAGTCTCCCTGAGAGGTACTCCAACTTGTGGCTCCACAGAAATAAGGAAATGATCGCCAAAACGACAATAAAAAGTACAAGTACCACAGTTAACTCATAGAAGTAGTTCATGAACTCCGAGGAGTACGTGCACAACCAAATCTGGCTTGGAATGGAACTAAGGCTTGTGAGTTGTTTACCGGTAAACAATTGCCAAAAAATAGAACGTTGTATAAAACTAGTTGTTATAGATTCACTAATGTACCGTGTCCAAAGGGCTTCCACAAGAGGATTTGTACTTTGTTGGTCCGGTCAGAGAGAAGCTAGTGTTCCGTGGACTTAAAACTCATTGGTACGCTAGATCGGTGATGTTTGACCGGCATGACTGCCAGTGTTGTTCCACAACCGAACTGCGTTGTTGAGCGTTCAACTCACCCTGTAATCCATGTTCTCTCCACAGTTGGTTACCACACATAAAAGTCCCAAAGCCTTCGCCAGATCTTTGATGGTTTCCGTTTTCCCAGTCCCAGCTGGTCCGGCAGGTGCCCCACCGAGACACAAAGACAGTGCCTGTTTGGAAATTGGGAGTAAAGTGGCATTTCAGTGTGTGACACAATGACCAAACAAGTGCCAAAAATGATGTGTGTGCAAGAAAGCAATTCACGAGGTTGTATTTAAGTGATGAATAGAATCATGGGTTGTGCAAATGAACCGTTGAGATGCGGTCTTCTTAAAGTGATACTCAGACACATGATTATGATAAAGCGGAAAACGATGTTTCTGGACAACATCTAACCTTATTCTACGGAACGATGTTTTCACGCCTCAAGCACTTGCAGTTGGTCTAGTTTGACTTAAGACCCGGCAGCCACCTATTGTCGGGAAATTTAAATTCCTGAACAGTCCCACAGTTTTAGGAAATTATTGAGGACTATGGATTCCAGCACAGTCGCATTGAAAGGACCCTCCAAGTCCGAGAGGCTAGTTGTAGATATGACGCTCAAACGGCCAGTCAGTGACGACCAAAGATGCTCGAGGGTTCAGACATGTCCCAGAAGCATCAAAAACCAATCGCCCAACACCAATCGGACAGACCGGCTTCAAGGTCAAAAGTTGATTTTAAGTATGGTGATGTTACTTTGCTTGTTCATCCCAGAGTAGCTGTGTTCCGAGTTTGTGTTGTTGTCCCTCATCAAGTTAGTGGAAGCATGACTGTAGTTGGTTACAGTGCGGAGAAAGCACAGTACAAGCAGTTAGTTTGTCGTCGAGTGGAGAGGAAAACCAGATAGATTTTCGACTGTATGTCGACCTACAATGCCCCTTAATTGCAGAAAGCTGACTGTGGTTCAATTTTCCCTAAGAATGCCGACAAATCACTATGAATTTACTTACCTGGGTAACAGTCAAGTAAATTCGGTCAGTTAATGGCGTTATAACCAGTCTCCCATTCAGCCCAAAATATTCGTTGCCATAGCTGAACTCGGCGGAGCACTGTCGAATAACCAAACTGTCCAACTTTCGAACCCAGTAGAAGCGAAGCTGAGATTCCCAACCAAATTCTTCCGGTGACATTATGCTGAGGAGAGGAAAGGCACCTTCAGAAATTCTCCAAAGAAACAGACTACTCGTGAGTAGGTCATGTACCATGCTGTTCACACCATCGCAAATAGGTGAAGAAACTCACCAAAAACGAAGAATGACTGCTATTATTCTTGAATACTTTTCTGGGTTTTCAAATGAGGTAATTTTCATGACTTTCTATTTCGTTTACAACCAATCTAGTGGCTGAAGCAATCTACAAGCCTCAATTTACATCAACACCCATAGTCTAGTTTACACTCGAGAGATGAGACGGCTTTTCGATAAGCTAACAGTAGAGAATTACCTGTCACGAATGAATCGCTCAACTATATCCTTACAGTGCACATCCAGGATAAGTACCGTCTCCAGTTTTTTCATATCGTTCGGTGTCAGTTCCGTCCGAATGCGATATACCATTTCACTAAGCTGTCCCTCCAACTTCTTGTCATACTCCTTCATTGCACTCCGATTTCCTTGTTTGAAACTGCGGAATACGTCCTCGACTTCCCAAGTAAACCAGATTTGTGATGCGGCAATAACAACCATACCCTAAAATTTGAATAAGAAACATTTGATAACAATGGTTTGGTGATTTATTTCTCCATGACATAAGGTTTGAGTGAAAATTCACCAGTCCTACTACGGTCCCACAATTGAAGTGTTACCACTTCATAGTTTACCTCTTGAGTGCATTTGAAGCTCCGGAGATAGCCTGAGTGTCTAAATGTGATGTTTTCGGTTCGCTGTAGTCCGTGACAGCAGATATTACGATATTAATGCATGGTCTCAATAAAACAAAGGAGAAAAACGGCGAAGTTTATGTGACCTGCTTTCTGACACTAGCACCCCATGTACATCCCAGATCTATTCTGAGCCGTATTATCCCACGGTACATGTGCTGCTAGCTGTTTTCTTTAATGAATTAGAGCCCATATCTGGATTTGTTGCGTTCATACGACCTTAGGATAATCGCTCCAAGACAGCCACCTCCACTGAGATTTGCACAAAAATTTAGTAATAATAGAGGGAAAAGGCAGGATTATCAGTTCATTCTTCATTCAGTGTAGGCTACATACTGGACTTTTAGCTCTACATTTTAAAGAGCTGTCGCAGACTCTAATGTGTCGAAAACGCTTTTGTGGATTGAAACCGGTAAGATTCAAGGATAATCAGTTAGGTTACATGTGGACGGTTCCATATTGGCGAGGCTTTTTTCGTCTACCAAGCACTTTATCGACTGGCCACGTGATCAGTATAAAACGTTTGAACTAGAAAGTTGGTCGCTTAGAGCAGGAATTGCTATCTACAATCATCTCTGGTTCAACCAGGTCGTTTGGTCGAACATGTACTTTTAAAATCTAAAATTGAGAGGATATTTAACACATCTTCATTGCCGAAACCACTGATAATTATGTCCTTTGTCGACACAGGAATTCCAATGGCAGGCGGCGATGCAGATGTGTGTGTGTGTTTGCCTTTTGACAAATACACTCATTTGTAGAACATCATAAACGAGAGATTCAGTGCAGTCTGTCTTGAAAACCAAATTGATTTGCAAATGAGTGTATTTCCGAAAACGGTCCAATTTGGGTTCAAGTAGAACATAAGGTTGACGGAAACTCGGGGACTGCGCACACCTGATGAGCCCCAAGGGCGAAACCGGTCATGGGCTGTCGAAGAGTTTTCAGCAACCTTGTGAGTAGTTGTTTGCCTTTGCTTTCATGCAGGAAAGATAAGTCGTGTATTGGTTGAGAATCTGGAGAATTCGCTCCATACAGGCTGTTGCTACCTAGCTTAAAAAATATAGCAGTAAGAAGCTGCTCGGAGGCTGGAATCAACTGTCTAGAGGAGAACCTTTCTAAGACCTTGTTTTGCACGTAAAATATTCGGTTGGATCCAACCAAGTCGATCGATAAATTTCGGACAATCGTTCCGTGCTACTTACAAATGGATGATTTCGTTAAGAAGTATGTTCTATTGAGCCACCTTAGGTCGAGCATTTTATCTAAAGTTCCATACTGTAGCGGACATTCACATGTTCCCTCAACCAGCTTCACCTAATTTGTCCAGTACATGAGTGTGTACTAGATCCCGCGACTGACCTGCTATTACAAGTCAGTTCCTGTTTAGTACGCACGGAACGATTCATGTTTTTGTACACACGTCAAAGTTTCCTGTATAAGGACAGAACACAATCAAACACAAGCACACAAATCACGTGACAAACGCCGTTCCGCCCGCAACTTTAACCGATCACAAGTCAGTTCCTGTCTAGCATGCATCAAAACACACATTCCCACGTTCGCTGCAAACGCGTACAAATATATAATGAACCTGACAACACAACACACTCCACCACGCACCACGCAACGGAGATACGCAAGGCGCTCAACACAACGCAGCATCCCGTGCACGCGGCAAGTCAACAAGACACAACAACGGATCTACCTGACTGGAGTATCTTCAAGAGCTAACCACTCCTGTAGAACAATCCTGCTCCGCATCTGCAGATCCTTCAAACCAACGAAGCCTTATCGATAAGTCATCTTTTATTTCATTGTCGTTGTATTTATAAGGTGCACCTAGCATTTGTATTTTTTCTTAATCACAAACATAAACTTGTTAGTGCATAACACCTTCTGAATCCTAAGCAGTCTAATTATAAGTAGCGCACTAACAATACCACCACCTGGACGAAGATATTTGCCGAAGCTAAGAAAAGTCAGTATTAAAAAGCCGGAAAACTCTGACAGTTCCTTCACTCCGATTAGGTCTCTCGAACTCATAACAAACAAATCAACTCCTCTTACCTGAAAGTCGAACATCCAATCAACGCGTGACTTCTGGTAGCAATAGTAGAACACTGCTCGTTTAGTAATCCAATGATTGGTACGTCTCATCTCAGCTTCCATTGCAGTGAGCCATTCCTCTACCTTTCCGAATACAAGGACTGGCTTGAAAATAGAACGGAATGTCATCGCATAGGCGGAGAAAGAACACTGCAATCTACTTACTTCTACATTTGTCGTTACACTTCACGTATTAGTTCACTGAGCAACCGGAAACCTACCTTCAAGAACTCCATTGTCTCTCCTTCAAATGAGATTAGAGCAGAGACAAACATGTCCGAAGAGTGCGACGAATAGGAGAACTTCAGTTTTCCAATATTATCGAACATCTGAGTAAGGGTACAAGTTAAAAATTGAAACACATTATTAGAAGTTTGTACAGGAACCATACGATAAATTAACGCAGTTTCCGGGGTTTTTCGTGTGATTTAATCAGAGCAACATAAAATTCTGTTTACCCTCTCATGACAAAATCTTCCATAGCTTGTGGAAATGTATATCCAAGACCTAAGTACTTCATCCAAACCTAACTGCTTCCGGCACAATACGGTGAATCCGGAAGCAGCTAGCTATGTATCAGTCCTGGGCAGCTTACTCTAACGGAACAGGAGCTCATGCACCACATGGCAGTTGTCATCCAAACAGTCACACAGTGAAACCCGTGAAATATCCCACACAAACAAGACCTCGTGGCTAGTAAGTGGTTAAAATAGATGATAATTGCGGTCTGAACCTTCTGAACAAGATTCTGCTCGCCATTGACCAGAACCAAATTTTCGGAGAAAAACGTTGATCTCGTCAGAGCAGTCTGATTCCCGGGAAGCTCTTTCGGAGAAAAACGTTGATCTCGTCAGAGCAATCTGATTCCCGGGAAGCTCCTTATGAAATTTCATCCAGAAAGATATCCCCGCAAATAAATCAGGTGTCTCTGGTGCATCACTCATCATCATCACCATCATCGACAGCATGACGTCAATGTTCAACGTCGACGCTTCACTGCCGTACAACCATGATTTATTTGAAAGCCTTATTGTAAAGAAAAGAGTAAGGGTGAACGGGGGAGGGACTTAGTGCTAGCTTACCACAATCATTCCGAGGTGCCTATACCTCCAGATATTCATTCAGGCGATCTGGATAGAAACTGACAACAAGAACGCCACTGACATCGGTTGGCAGCTATTAGGCGCACAAATGTTATGCTTTTTCGAAAACGAGCATGCAAATTGAGACTCGAACACATTCATCCGTTCACAGCAGGACCACCTCACCAACAAACCTTGATTATGTGCTCTTGTATAGCCTCAGCCTCCTTTCCTCCCAATATATTCAATACCTCGTCGTCTGAGATGAAGTAGAAACGAGGGAATGCGTTTCGTTTCGCGTCCAGATAGTCATTCAACGCTTTTTGGCACAGTTCCAGTTCATTCGCCATCATGCGCAACGAATCCAGACGGCGATCGGCCAAACAACTTTTCATCACGTACTGGGTCTCTTGTGTCTGTTTCATAATCTGCAAATGAACAAAATGATCGCAGGTTACTCATGCGTCTATCAACCTTAGTTAAGTTGCGGCAATCGATGGAGTAATGACTAACCTATGTTTTAAAACCCTGATCAAACACGGGTGGCCAAGTGGATAAGAACAAGGCTTATCGTTTGGACAACCCGAGGTTAAACCTCTCTTGAATGCCTCCTAACTGGATTCCAGCCCCTTTCTCGACCAACAATACACCTGTTTCACAGAGAAAGGTGTCCTTCTCCCAAACCCATTTCTTCGGTCCCACTAGAATTGTATGCAAACGACATTAGATAATACACAACATCCATAATCAGTACGAAAAGGCCACGTGTTTACAAGTGGGCGAAACCACGGGTGAAGTTAAACAACACGTCCGATGACAAGGTCAAAGAACGGTTTATGTTCAGGTCAAAAACAAGAAGAGTGGTATAGGCGCAAACCGAAACAACAAAAAAGGGGGAATCGTGCTGTACAGTATAAAAATAGAAGAAAGGAATCAACACCGCCCCCCAAAGCCAGCATGGCTTTCTCTGACCTACCAGCTTAATCCACCGCGTGCAAGAGATAAACGAGAATGCTACAACTGCTCTAGCCACAAAAGCTTCCCTCAATCTGCCGCATGCGCCTAGGTTGGGTGAGCAACTAGCTGTCTTCTACTCCTTCCAGCAGGCAGATGCGACGTATATCCCGCCTAAGCATACCCAAGGTGGTCTTTACTAATACTTTCCAAATATGGCCATCAGTTCCGAGCTTTGCCTCCACTAGGACACCTTTCTCCTAATGTCCGCGACTTGGATTTTCGCCGCTGAACAATACAAAGTCTCTAACTCAAAAGTCTCGACGGTTACGTATCCACTTGTGTCGTAACTGTACTAGTGGAATGTACTCCTTCAACCATCGGCGCCAGAAGGTATTCGCCAACACTTGCCCCTGTCTCCAACATCGGGTATATCTGTCGCGTATACTGACCATATCACCTGACAATTCAGTCTGTCCCCGCAACAATAACAAGTGACTTGGGGTCAGCATGTCCAAGTCTGGATCATCGTAGACAGGTACAAGTGGACGGTTATTTAAAATACGCTCCACATCAGTTCGGAAGGTAGATAAAGATTCGTCGGCCAACACCTGTTCACGGGAGACCGCACTCAGTACTCGGCGAATGGATCGTATCTGACGCTCCCATACTCGTCCGCATGACTGCTATAGGGTGGGTTGAAGTGCCACTCAATCCCGTGGGCTATCATACTCTCATTAACGGGCTCGCAGTCTAGCGATTTCAGAAATTGCCGAAGTTCTAGTTCGGCTCCAACGAAGTTACTTCCTCTGTCACTGAGCATTTCCTTCGGTGAACCAAGACTGTTAATAAAGCGGGAAAGTGCCATAAGAAAAGAGTCAATCGATAAGGAATGAGCCACCTCGATGTGCAGTGCACGCGTCCTCAAACATGAGAAGATACACCCGTATCGCTTCCTCGACTGTTGTCCGTCACGTACAAAAAAGGGACCGAAATAATCCATACCAGCGACGGCAAAGGCGTAACCGGGCTCGACTTTGCAGGGTGGTAACGGTGCCATCAGCTGTTCCGCTGGCTTCATCGACCTTGCCTTACATGACAAATACCTACGCACAATCCTTTTAACTGCGGCTGCCACCTTGACAACCCAAAATTTCTTACGCATGGCGGCTAGAACGTGGGACGTGCCCATATGTCCTTCCAACTCATGGTAGTGTCTAATCGAGCAATGTGTCACAGGATGTCGGCTCGGAAGTATGGTGGGATGATTGCGGAATTGGGACAAACCACTATTCTACAGCCTTCTTCCGACACATATCAGTCCTTCAAAGAGTATTGGAGAGACTTTACGCAACCAGTTGAACGAGTCCACATTCAGGGTCTCATCGGGACGTGACTTTCCGGCGAGAGAATTACATAAATGCTCAAAGGCGTGCCGTTGCACGTATTGGAATAGTGAATATTCTGCTGCCCTCAGTTCATCAAGCCGCAGACAGCTAAGTGAGAGCACACACTTCTCTTCTTTATTTGACTTTATGCGAGGATAAAAGTTGAATCACCTCATCCATTCTATGGCTTGTTTCAGCCTAGTCCACGAAGAATAGTAAGAGAGAAGTTTGTCAAATGCTAATTCTCCTAGGACGGTAGTGTTCACAACGTTGGACTCTAACTTCAAGGCCCGGTATGTCTTCATCAGAGCAGTTGACATTCATTTCTGGCCACTTGTGCTCTGGGCTTTGTAGGAAGGCGATACCATGCAACCAAATGTCTAGAACATCCATGCGGCCACCATAGACTCCTCTTGACGCGTGATCTGCTGAACTGTCTTTCGGTTATTGATGTGATGAAGTACGGTCATAGAGTCGGTCCACAAGTATATGCTGTTTATTTTCAAACTCGGTTCCCTCAGGACGAGGCTCTTTAACCTTACGAACAAGACAACAGCTTGTAACTCCAGTGGCGGTATTGCAACAGGCCTCATAGGGGCAACACGGGATTTGCCAACCAGAAAATTACAGCATACCAGCCCGGAACTGCGTACACAACGTAAATAAACAACGGATATGTGTCCAACTTCTAAGGCGTCGGAGGAGATATGTGTGGTGTACATCAAATCCAGTAGACAGGAGGCATCGAGGGATTTTTAACGTCTCGACTCTTTGCATGTCTCGTTGCCAACAGTCACACAAAGTTCCCGTGGCCATATCAATTCGTTCGTTCCAACCAACTTTCTTCTCGCACAGTCGCTGTAATATTCGTTTGGTCCTGCAGGAGGAGCTGTTCCAAAAATTGCCCATCATAAGTCCGTGAGATATGAGTAAGGATGCTTCGGAGAGCCCAGACGTTGTTCGATAACCCAGTGGGCCTCTGGGACATTGGTTCCTATCAAAATCGAGACGTTATTTCCAGGAGTTCGTGCAGGTTGAACCTCCGCCAGGTCCGTCCATTTGCTCAGCAGCGAATCATCCGGGACGTAAGCCTTGGCGATGGGAAGTGCTCCGATAGTGTTGGCACAGTCGACGTTCACAACCCACCTGTCGTGCAAAGACTGCATGGCAAAGCTGACGATCATGGTATCCTTGAAATCGGGGCGATTTACCAATGATACTTCTAATCGCGTCACTTCCTCTTCTGTCCAAAGTTGTTTCGCCACATCTGCCGTTATGAGGGTAGCATTAAATCCATTGTCCAACAGGGCATGAGTTAGCAAAGTCCCCTTTGGGCCAATCAGCCGAACTGCTACCAAACCCAAGGTAGCCCCGGGGCCCCACAACAAGCGTTGAGTTGATGTTGGCAGCTTTCGTTTCCTTATCAACCATCCGCTGTGTGTCGTGAAGCAGACGGTGATGCCCTGGTTGCCGTCGCAACGGGTAGGGACCCGACACTCAAATGCTCTAAGGTTAGGCTCTAGGCAATCGAGGCATAATTTGAGGCCTCTCAGTCTACTCAGCTTCTTGAGTTGGGGTAGGGTGCCAAGCACTTCACAGTCTGAAAGGCTATGAGTCTGGGAACAGTGAGGTCAAGTCATACTGGATCTCATAGCTACGACGTTGATGCGGGCCTTTTCAGGTGGGCGTTCTAAGCCTACTTTGTCTTGTTGTGCTGGCGATAGCACCATAGTAATTTGAAGCAATGGATATACTTCTGTTGAGAAAGGATACTAAATGATCAAATTCCAGCTCTGATCCCGAACGCAGTATGTCGTCTGCCGCCTCAGCCCACTTTTGTTGCAAACGCCGAGGTAGACGTTTGAGATTGGCTGAGCAGTTCAAGTTCGCCATGTAATGCATCTGCCTCAGTGTGAGATCAAAGTTCACCATTTTCCTTATCAGCCTTCGTAAGGCATCGACCTCTCCGGGAGCAATGGGCCCTCTAATCAGTAGCTCGTTCATGAACGACTGTGCAATGTCGTGTGGCCTTCCGAACTGAGTCTTTAGGCTCTTTGATAGCCTACCTTTCCAGGGAGCAACACGCAGTGTTCAGTGGCCTACTTGGCTTCCCCTAACCAATAATGAAGTAGGTACATCAATTTACTGCTGTCATCAAGCAGCCGATCAGCTACCCTCATTTCGAACGCTTCCATACACATCCAGAATTCCGTCGGATCCCAGCTGAACAAAACTATTCCTATTCTCCGCAGGTTGACCCCAGGCGCTGTGATAAGGTGGAAAACAAGTGCGCCGCGGTTCGAGTCCCGGCCGTCATCTTTCCTATGCTGATCAGTAGATGGATGCATGCGATTGATTTCCCTTAACTAAACTAAGCTTTTCAAAAAATTTCCCGACCTTCTGTTCCGTGGACGGAAACCCAAGTTCACAGTTACCACACATCAAGATTTCCTCATCAGAGGAGTCAAAAGAAAACAAGATCGCATCCGGTACGCTAAGTTCCGCTTTCTTATCTCCAGCTCCTTCATCTCTAATGCAAGCACGTCTGGTATCTCCTTCTCTAACCTATTTCTCTGCCTATCTGTATGCTTGCTGGACCTCATACTAGCAACTACGAATATCACTATTACCACAGACTTTCGCTCTTTCATTACTGTCCGGATACGCTATTCCTCGTAAAAATTTACACTACTATAAACGGTTTCAGTAGTACACGTTCATCGATGATAAGTGCTAGCCCCCACTCTCATTGGTTGACGGACTCCATTAAATAGTCCGCGCACCGAGGCGACGCACACTCGTCATGGCTTCATTCGCGCCGTTCGATGCGCCAACATCTGGAGCGCGAGCACCAAGCGCCTTATTGAACATGGTGTTGAACGATGTGCGAATACTTTATCAACGGATGGACCCCGGACATTTCGCAGTCTATGCCATGTGGCATCGTAGCTTCGTGCAGCAGGCTGGCCCCCGAGAGTCACCCCCATTCACCTTCCCACCACCCATCAACCTGTACACGGATACGAGCATTGCTGACTACGACCAACTGCCTCCATCCATATTGTTGAACTTGGATTCTCCTGCCCTTCTTCCGACGGAATTTCCGGAGGGACTTGTCACAGTGGGCCCAGAAGACTCTGTTGTTCCCGACGAAACGGCCGTTGTTGGCATTCCAAGCTCGGGTGAGGAGTGGACTGTTCCAACTGTACAAACTGGCCCCCGACGAGCAGTCGGTGTGTATGACGCGAGGCAAGATCCTCGGACGGAAGTCGCTGAAGGAACACCCACCGTACCCAGTTTACAAGACTTCGTAGCAGATGATCACATCTGTGCTGAGTGCGGCCTTGAAGATCCTGAAGAAGACGAAGAAGGAACCGTAAACTGGGTTCAATGTCCGTATTGCACACGGTGGTACCATCGTAGTTGCCTTATCCAACCCCCTATTGTGACGATATTTTGGTGCTTTTTTTGTGAACAAACATTTAAATAGATTCGGTTATTCCCTCTTCACCAACAATTCGTAATTTATAATCAAGGCGCTTGCGTTGGAAGTGCAGCCCGCTTTAACCGATGTTCACAGAGAGCCTCTAGAAATATTGCGCGGTTAGATAATTTCATAGTGAAGATTGTCCCAGGGAATACGTAAATGGCGATGTTCAGAGCATTCTGCGTTGAATTGTGTAGGGTTACATGAAAAGTGTACACTACGTTTAGTTAGAGCGAAGCAAATGAATGTGAGGAACCGGGCGTAAACATCACTCTGCTAAGAGGTGCGTGATTCAAATGAGGATGGAAATAGGAAAAAGTGGGACGAGGCGCATTTTGTCGGATTGTTCTGCTTTTACCTTTGTCAAATACGGAATGTAGCTGTGAGAGACAAGAAGACACGTAAACCGCTGCACAAGGACGAACGTTGGTTTCATTGTTTACTAAGTCCTACCGAGCTATTCACGAACTTCTCAGGGGCCACGAAATGCAAGAACGCTGCCACTAATTGAATTGAATCCATCATACTGGGAAGGAACCGACAGGCAATTAAGTGTGCTTTGTTTGCGTATGCAAGATAACAACAGGCTTGGTAATGTGGTGGATTTTGGTGAACCAAGCGAAGAAGTAACACGCCACTGCATTCCATGGTTGGCGTTTATTGTTGCATTATGTGCATGGAGTGCGGTGGCACAGTGAGGTTACATGAAATTTGCAACTACCACCACTGGAAGCATTCACTAAATCATGCGAAAACAAAATGACGAGAAATCCAGTAATCTAAGGATGCTCGACATAATCTTCTGTTACTCAGATATTGGCCATGCTATAACGTATACATAGTTTACGCATTAGTTTTTCTCCTTTAGTGGAAAGGTGTGAGAATTAAGTAACCGCACGTAGATCAGTAAAACCGGAGCGTGTGGATATTTATAGTCCAGTGGTGGTCTTGATCGCAATCTTTTAGACCTTCTTGGAATGGAAACTTCTGACTGTTCACAGGTTGTGTGTTCTTCAGATACGTTTTGTTCGGATACCATAGGATCATCTACAAAGGACTCATTAATATTTGGAATAGCAGGAGTGCCGTTAATAGACTGATCTCTGGTACTGAACTCGACCTGAGCAATGCGTAAGTAAGCAGATTTCGACATCCAAGACCTTTTAACCATTCCTCGAGGAATTTGGCGGAGAAGTGTATGCCGTTGTCATTGTGGCGTTTTGTACCTTTATTTTTACTTTCAATATAACACTACGTATTTCATCAATTGCATAGTCGTTTTTTGTTTAAATACGAAAAACCAGAAAAACGCGCACTTGTACAATTTCTCATAATACAAGCGTGGTCACTTGCTTCGACTCTCTCTTCTGATTTCGGTCGCGCTTGCAGCGGTCATTCGCGAGTCTCATGTACTAACTCTGGTACCAAAACATTTCAGACCATCTTCGGAATCTATTATATGTGGAAAATGTTCAGAGGAAGACCACTGGACCAACATACGTGGATTATTGTTTATTCGCTGACCTGGGCCAACGACGAACTATTTTAAAGAGAACAATTGTTAGTGAGTCTGTTCCACCTGACCTCTTTATTTTTGGTTTACCCAACCTAGCGTTATTATTTTTATTTCTTTGCCACACACTCCTGGTAAACTAATTTATTGGGTAGCCAGGCCACTACATCAGTGACCAAAACAGTTGGCAACGTTCATGCATTTTCCTCAATGCTTGCTGTGAGAATTCTGCACTTGGAGACGTAGTTAGAAAAACTTCAGGCGAACGTCCAGTGGTATTTGAAGATAGGCATTTTTTAGATCAATTTTCGAAAACACACTTGAACTTGATAAACGATGTACTGATGCAGCTGATGTACTAACAGGTACGCTGCGTATTTCCTTACTTATGATCTTGAAGACTTATTTCTCCCAAATTAATGCTGTGGTGTCAGTTTCCTTCGAGATTTTCTGACTAAGCGGTCTCTAAGGCTTTTTTTACAGTCAAATAAACGTTTTTGCCTTCAGCTGGGTTCCAGCTGAGTAGCAAGCCCAACCCATCGCCCGAAATTACGCAATTACCATAGTTACCTGACATGTCGAAACATCCGGTTTGGTTGACCCCAATTAGCTGACATTTCGAAATATCCAATTTGGTTGACCCCAATTAGTTGACATTTTGAAACATCCGATGTGGTGATAATGGCCGAATACCGTCAGGTCAAGTTGTCAGTGTAGGCTAGCCGGTGAGCGGGAGGTGGAGGTGACCTCAGCTAAACTGGGTGCCCGCCACGGTTTGCCACCTGAGGATAGAGTTATCATTCCACTGACTCAGCGAGCGGTTGTTCCTGCATATTTACACTCTGGTCATCTAGATGTTGACAAATGGAAATTCCCTGCACGCTTGTCAGCTGTATGGATGGGTTTCTCAATTTGCATCCGAATTCCTGGCACACATAATGACCAACATCCAGATCAGAATTTTCCATTTTCATGGAAATGCAATGCAGAACTGTATGGATAGCTGCTGGGACTGTCATCTTGCAGTACGACGCCCATTGGAAACAAGAATCGACTTACCGCAAGTAACACACATACACACCCTAGTTTTTCCTCCCGTACAGACCAGGAGTTTGCACTCCATGCACATAATGCAATAATAAACGCCAACCATGGAATGCAGTGGCGTGTTACTTCTTCGCTTGGTTCACCAAAATCCACCACATTACCAAGCCTGTTGTTATCTTGCATACGCAAACAAAGCACACTTAATTGCCTGTCGGTTCCTTCCCAGTATGATGGATTCAATTCAATTAGTGGCAGCGTTCTTGCATTTCGTGGCCCCTGAGAAGTTCGTGAATAGCTCGGTAGGACTTAGTAAACAATGAAACCAACGTTCGTCCTTGTGCAGCGGTTTACGTGTCTTCTTGTCTCTCACAGCTACATTCCGTATTTGACAAAGGTAAAAGCAGAACAATCCGACAAAATGCGCCTCGTCCCACTTTTTCCTATTTCCATCCTCATTTGAATCACGCACCTCTTAGCAGAGGGATGTTTACGCCCGGTTCCTCACATTCATTTGCTTCGCTCTAACTAAACGTAGTGTACACTTTTCATGTAACCCTACACAATTCAACGCAGAATGCTCTGAACATCGCCATTTACGTATTCCCTGGGACAATCTTCACTATGAAATTATCTAACCGCGCAATATTTCTAGAGGCTCTCTGTGAACATCGGTTAAAGCGGGCTGCACTTCCAACGCAAGCGCCTTGATTATAAATTACGAATTGTTGGTGAAGAGGGAATAACCGAATCTATTTAAATGTTTGTTCACAAAAAAAGCACCAAAATATCGTCACAATAGGGGGTTGGATAAGGCAACTACGATGGTACCACCGTGTGCAATACGGACATTGAACCCAGTTTACGGTTCCTTCTTCGTCTTCTTCAGGATCTTCAAGGCCGCACTCAGCACAGATGTGATCATCTGCTACGAAGTCTTGTAAACTGGGTACGGTGGGTGTTCCTTCAGCGACTTCCGTCCGAGGATCTTGCCTCGCGTCATACACACCGACTGCTCGTCGGGGGCCAGTTTGTACAGTTGGAACAGTCCACTCCTCACCCGAGCTTGGAATGCCAACAACGGCCGTTTCGTCGGGAACAACAGAGTCTTCTGGGCCCACTGTGACAAGTCCCTCCGGAAATTCCGTCGGAAGAAGGGCAGGAGAATCCAAGTTCAACAATATGGATGGAGGCAGTTGGTCGTAGTCAGCAATGCTCGTATCCGTGTACAGGTTGATGGGTGGTGGGAAGGTGAATGGGGGTGACTCTCGGGGGCCAGCCTGCTGCACGAAGCTACGATGCCACATGGCATAGACTGCGAAATGTCCGGGGTCCATCCGTTGATAAAGTATTCGCACATCGTTCAACACCATGTTCAATAAGGCGCTTGGTGCTCGCGCTCCAGATGTTGGCGCATCGAACGGCGCGAATGAAGCCATGACGAGTGTGCGTCGCCTCGGTGCGCGGACTATTTAATGGAGTCCGTCAACCAATGAGAGTGGGGGCTAGCACTTATCATCGATGAACGTGTACTACTGAAACCGTTTATAGTAGTGTAAATTTTTACGAGGAATAGCATATCCGGACGGCAAATAAAGAATCAAAAGGCTGGGGAAATAATGGTATTCACGACGAACATTGTTGTCAGAAATAACGTTCATAACGTTAGCAAGTTCCGTGTTCGATAACTTTTCGAATGACTAGGCGCTTCTTGTTTCTAAGTCTCCCGATTCCAATTCGACCGAACGTCTGTGATCCACGGAGTACTTGAGACTTGATTTCCTGATTGGGGTACTATAGTTTGATTCCTGCAGTCTGTTAGACTACGTTGGGTTGCGCGCAAAACCCCAAAAGCCAACTCTTCCAAACGGAGGTTTATCTGCAAATGCGGTACTATAAGTACAATAAAAAAAATTATGAAACTTTATAAACCTCGAATCGTGGGACTACGCCGGCCTCAATACACCGGTTTCGCGACTGCTAATTCCTAACGTATCCCATATTCCACTCCGACTGAGAGCCACGTGTTTACAAGCTAGCGAAACCAAGTGTGAAGTTAAACAACACGTCCGATGACAAGGTAAAAGAACGGTTCATGTTCAGGTCAGAAACAAGAAGGGTGGTGTAGGCGCAAGCCAATATAACAAAAAAGGGAGAATCGCTTTGTAGAGCATAAAAATAGGGGAAATGAACCAACAATTGCTCGCTTCGGCGTTACCGCGGTTATATAAAATACTTACCTTAACACGCAACCATTTTGTTGGAATTTATTTTCGCCAGTCTACAGAACACATAATGATATGTCCTTGTTTGAAATGTTCCATATTTGGGGGGAGAGAGAGAGATAACGAAACTGCTGGGTACCACCGGTGCCGTCCACCTTACAGGTGATCCTTGCTGTGTTTTGCTGGGGACGTTGTAAGGTATGACCACTAGCGGATATCGATGGCAATCTTGTTATCGTTCTTCACCCAGATTGAGTGAGTGACCGGTGGTGTATGCATTTCGATGTTTGACTCATGATAAACTGGCGTTGAGTCCGCTCTTCCATTCTCACTTCAACGTTCTCCTCTTTACAGGGCTTCCTGTGCCGACAGTGGTGAAAACTAGTGGTAATGCCGTAGTATTTGCTTGTGTAGTCAAGTTCTGATACGGCCGAGAAGCCCATCCCACGCAAGACTGGCCAGAAATTCGGGACGCTTGCCGGTCCGGCATCAAGCCGAGATCTGATTGGTCGAAAGTCTGGACCCAACAGCTAATTATGACCCAGTATTGGCCGAATG